GGACAAATTGCAGCAAATTTTTGCCCAAGCTCATCATGAGAAATTCACCCCCTCCCCCCCACACCCCCTCCCTCATCTGGAAGGACCCCCTCTCAATCCAAATGGAGTCAGACACCCCCCCCCCTGTCCTGCCCCCCAAGACCGAGAACTGAGAGGGAGGGAGAAAAAGAAAGAGAAGAAAGAGTACAAGTACGAGCAGGAGCAAGGATGGCACTGGCCCACACCAACTCGACAGGGCTGCCGTCGAGAACGGCGGGGCGGGGGGCTATCCTTGGGACCGGCGGCCCAATCACCGCGCCCCCGCGCGCCAAGCTCACTACCATGTACACAGACCCGTAACCACCACATGTGCGACAGGGGCCCCGGCAAGGGTGCCATCTCGCGGCTCTGCCTCGCTTGACTGCTTAGCGTCCGGTATCCCAGTCCTTGCCTTCCCTGTCACCGAACCCCGCCCCCCTCCTTCGCTTCCCTCCCCCCGGCTCGTGGGGCCTTCCTCTGCAAAGAGACCGACACCACCGTCGGCGTCTTCGTCGTCGTCATCAGCATCCTCCTCTGGTCACTGGCGGGGGAGAAAATAATACGTATAGTCACTTCATGGACCCGGTGAAATGCAGCTGCAAAAGCTATACCAGTGTGATCATCACGACGGAGATCCCATTTTTGTGTGTGTAAGTATATGCACATCGTTTCTATTCTCTCGCCAACGCACTCTGAGTGCTGGTGCCGTTGCGTCTCCTTTCTCTGTTGGACCCGCCTACCCGTCAAGGGACCAGACCTGTCCCCCAGGGGTATTTCACCTTTCCTGTTCCATGAGCGCCTCGCTATACATGCAAAAGACAAAAACACACGAGACTTCCATCGCTTGAAGCCCCCAAAACAAACCCCGAAAAAAACCGAAAGGACAAAAAATAATAGTACACATCATATACATCTACTCATCATCGTCGTCCTTGGCTGCCTCGTCGCTGGCCTCTCCCTCGCCGTCTTCGTCCTCGTCATCGCTCTCGGGCGGCTGCCATGACTCTTCCAACTTGAGACCCTTGCCTGTGCCTTCTTGACCGCGATACGAGGCGCCGAGCAGGGACGACATGGCCGACCGTGAGTGACTGAGTTGAGGATCGTCCTCGTACTTGTCTGGCGCATCGTAGAGGCCCATGCCCACCAGGATCTCGCCCTCCTCTTCCGCCTCGTTCAGCGGCTCGTAGGGAATGGCGTCCTCCGATGACACAACAGGCTGCTGCTGCTGTGCTTGGGGGAGATTCTCAGGCGTCGGGGGCGAGGTGCTGTTGAACCCGTGCGCGGCGAACGAGTTCCACTGCGACGTCGTCGTGTTCGAGCTGCCGTAGTCGCACGTCGGCAGCACAGGGAACGGCTCGACAAAGGTGCTCGGCACATGGGCCGATACATAACTTGGCGTCGGTTGAGGTGCTACACCCCAGCCTTCCACGGGCAGACAAGGGGCCGCGTCGAAGCTGTTGTACGGCAGAGCGAGGGGCGAAAATGCAGAATTGGGAGATGTGCTGCACGAGTAGGCGGGAACTGGCGAGTAGTGAGGCTGCATGCCAGATGCAAACTCGTAGTCGTTGTAGGTAGGGAACGGGTACTGAGCGAAATGCTGTTGTGCCGGCGCCGACATCTGGCCGTGATAGTAGGATGAGGGGTGCCAGCTAAGGGGGCGGCTGGGTCGAGTTTGAGAACTTGGCATCTCCTGCGTGAGGGGCCAAACATTCTGGTCCACAACCTGTTGCCTTCGCCTTGCTGCCAGAGAACCGTCGCCCATCAGTGTCCTCCTCCTGGCCGCCATGGTCGATCTCGGGCTGCTGTTGGCACTGGTAGGCTTGACAACCCGCATGGCGGTGCTCATGGCACTTCCCGCTCGTTGCTGACAGTTCGAGCCCCTGGAAAGCCGTCGAGAGGCTTGTGAGATGGCCATATGTCGAGATAGATCGTCCATAAAGACGTCTGAAGGGTGCTGCTGGTACATGGCCGTGGACTGGCCGGCTTGGGCGACGCCCAAGTATGAGGACATCATCATGAAAGGGTCGATTATGGTATGAAGGGAGTTGGGCGTTGATGTTGCAATGGTTGCGTTGCTGGCTAGGTGTGCCTTCTAAGTGATGAAGAGTGATCGAGGATGGAGGATATGGGTTGGGTCGTTGTTATACGTCGATTCGGAAGTTGGGTGTACTAGTATGTGGGTGGGATATTGTACCACGAGTTGCTCCAGTTGCTTGGTGCCAAGGGAGCGGATATTCCTGGGAAGGGGGGGGAGAAAAGATTGGTCTGATGGAGAATAAAACAAATCTTTGGCTAGCTCCAGAAAGAACAACATTTCAACAAGTGGACCGACAGGAAAGACAGGCGTAATAAAGAGGAAGGGCCAGACATGGTAGCTGGGCATGTGTGATGGGCGTCGGCCATAGTGCGGGTTGCATGGGTGATGGGTTGCCGTCTAGAGTAGCATGTCAACGAGGATGTGTCTGTGGACGGGCACTTACCGCGCCGGCGCCGCCGCCGCACAGAACAAAGCGACAAGGGGGGGTGGGGCG